GGGTGAACACATGATCAATGCATCCACGACCTGAACGAAACCCAGCCTGCTCTTCGCGAATCAATCCTTCACGTATTTTGCACAGTCTGCGAAGCAAGACAGCAGCCAATATTTTAGACGCGACTGGTAACAGACTGATACCCCTATGATTGTCACACGAATTACGTCGACCCTTTTTAAAGATGGGGACGATAATGGCTTCGTTCCACATTGATGGTACACTCTCTGTCTCCCACACCTTCCTGAACAACCCAGTTAGAGCCATTGTGAGAGTCTCACCACCATCTTTAAAAAGAGCCGGGGGTAATTTGTCTGGGCCGGGCGCCTTATGGCGTTTCAGAACTTAGAGTTCCTTACGGACCTCCGCTTCGGTGAGTGGGTCGATACTAACCGACCAAGGAGCACTCGGGCTAATGATAGTAGACACTGAAGCTGGTGGCAAGCTGAACTGCTTCCCGAAGTGCTCTGCCCAGCGTTCCAGGCGTCTTTTCAGGCTGGTAATTGGAGTGCCATCTGCCTCACAGACCGTCTCGCTGACACCTTGTTTCTTGCCGCCGGTAGCTCGTATGAGTTGGAACAGCTTCCGACTGTTGCCAGATGCAGCAGCTGACTCCATCTCACACGCACGTTCTGACCACCAGGCTTCGCGGTCCTTACGTAAACACTGTCTAATCTTGTGCGTGAGCGCCTTTCGCTGATTGTTGTATTCGCTGCCAGCCGGAATGGACCGGCGCTCATCCAGGAGTTGTAATGAACTCGCAGAAACCCAGTGGTTGTTAGCGGAGCATTCTTTCAAGCCGCAAGCGGCTACACTCGCCTTTCGCATGGCACCTTGCACATGAAGCCAATGTTCATCTATACTACTTGGGGGGTTGCTGGCAAGCATTGTTTTTAACTCATTCTGATATTTCAAAGAAGTAGCAGGTGCTACTAGTTTGCTCACATCAACGCCTAGACGACGGCTTTTACGAACCCCACCAAATCGCAAGACAAACTTGGCACACACTAACGCATGATCGGAGTCCAGGCATGTGCTCCAGAAGGAGCGACAGTCTTGTATGCATCCTCGCCACCGGAAACTGACCGCGATATGATCAATCTGAGTCCAAGCTTGCTTCGCAGAGGGATGACGCCAGGTAGCGCTACGGCGATGGCTGTGCCGGAAGTTGGTGCTAGCTAGAAATAGGTTGTGATCCGCGCAAAGCTGCAGAAGACGGTCCCCATTATCTGACCTGCGACCATGTAGTCCCCACTGACCACCTAGACGATTCTCCTCTGAGCTTAGACGCCCGACCTGTGCATTCAAGTCCCCAGCCAGCACTACGATATCCCTCCGACCCGCCTGTTTCAAGAGATTGCTCAGTTGGTACCAGAACTCATCCTTAATTGCATCCGGGCTGCAATCCGTCGGTGCATAGGCAGAGACAACAAATAGACACCGCCTATCTGGCCTACTACTCTTAACTTTCGTATAACCCTTCAGCCTCACAGCACATAAACGACTGTAAATGGGAATCCAGTCGAGCAATGCAGCTTCGGCTCTAGTGCTCAGTGAGACACCGACACCAGCTACGCCGGATCCCGATGCCACAGGGTTCCCGGATAAACGCAGATGGTACATACTGCTAGAACTTTCAGATGGAGAGGATAGTCGAAGCACTTCACTGGGATCTTGAATGCGGGTATCCGAAATGCAGCAGACATCGATAGCGAGGCTTTCCAAAGTTCTTGCCAACCCTGCCTGTTGTCCGATTTGCATCAGCGTCCGAACATTGTAGGTAGCCAGCTTGAACGCAGCACGCGGTTTCAGGATATTCGTGTTAGATGTCACATTGGGAACAACCATTTTGAGGACTACTCACTAACATCTCGAAACGACACGGATAGGCTGGGAATCTCGACAAAGGCGAAAGGCTGTCGAAGGTTAAGAAGCCAAGGTTAGAAAAGGTACAATACAGGAAACTATGTATAAAAATAAAAGTAGGGTAGGAAGGAAATAAGTTCCCTGAGGGATCAATATTGCTTGGAATCATTTTTACTAGCGCGCGTTGAGTTTCAATGGGAGTTCGTTGCTTTAATTCATTCATTGTGTGCGGGCTGAGATACTGCCCGGGCGCCCAAACCGAAGCAGGTGGTTTTATTAAGGGACCACCCCCGAGCCTTTGACTTGGAGTCTAATCCGCAAGGCAGCGGAGCAGCGTCAGGAGCTGCATTCCCATGGTTGCCGGTGACCCATGTGGGTTCATACGCCATTTGATCCGATTGGAAACTGGAGCCCATGTACCCCATGGTAACTGCTTTTAGTTTAACCGCTATCCAGAAAACCTTCCTGACATGGTAGGACCTGTAGAGACAGAGTCCCAGTCATTTCAGCTTGTTGGGTCATTGCGGTATTCAAGCCCGACCACCACGACAAGGTAGCAGTTATCGGCAGTTATTGTATGCATAGTTGTTTCTTCCAAATGAATTGCTAGGGCTTCTGCAACGCAGAGAAGATGGAAATGTATTGTCTCTGGAAGGTTTTTCTTCACTTTAAAAATTACTTTGTTTGTTGAGATGGAATGACCAGTGTTGACGAGATGTTCAATTATTGCACTCCTTATACGGCCACTATTCCTTTCTGCTGTCACGCTGGATAGTGTTCTTTGACCCTTTTTGATTGGATGCGCGCTGAACGCCCAATGTATCCGGCTTCACAGCAACATGTGAACTGATATATACATATAGAAGTGGTCAGGTGCGGGATCTTGTCCTTTGGGCTTCTGCAGATTCAGCGGGCGACTGGAGAACACTACTCTCAGTGTTACCGTAAAGAAAGTTCCTCTTAAAGAAGTTGAACTTCTCCTCCTAGGGACATCACTGAGTAGGTCACCCTTGAAGTCAAGGCTCATATACAATATCTTTTTTGGCACAGATGGTGTCTTTTGCTTTTGGAATTTCTGTTTGATATTTTTGTTATCCATCCATTCCTTTACGTTCCTGCTGGAACATAGGTCTTCAAGCTAGAGGCTTAAAGTTTCGGTAGAAGTGGTGTTTATTTTTACAAGGTGAGGTTGCTAGTCTCATGCCCAACCTTTCCTCTCTACCAGTATTATTGCTGGCTTAGCGAGGTAAAGAAGTGCATCGGCCGGGGATCGAACACCGAACCACATGCGTGGTTGGCGAGCATCCTACCACTGCACCACCGACGATGTGCCCTATGCAGTAGGTACGTCTTATTATCACATATAAAAATGTGAGCGGTTACGACTACCATCATACATTTTCATTTCCACAATGGATGGTTGTTATCAAAATATATACCGAACTTGAACCAAAAATAAAGTTTACTGTATTCCATACAAAAGTGGACTAACTCTGCATAGGTGTGCAGCAGTTTGTCGCACTCCATGTAGCACACAGCAAGAGAAGAGAGTACAGAGGTTCCAGAGAGAGATAAAAATTTTATTGGATATTATAAATCACAAAGAGTCAATGCATCTACGCTATGCATTGAGAACGACTTTGAGTCATGTCACTGGCCATTGGGTTTAACCATCCTTAGGACCCCGAAAGGAAGTCTTCACCCACCTACCAAAGTGGAACATTTACTACCAAGAGACACAATCGACTTATATTATGCAGACAGCATAATCACCAGAATTTACTTTCTTTTTACTAAGGGGGGATGAAGAAAAGTAAATCTACTGATTACCATTTATTATTAAAAGAAACTTCGCTCAATGTAGGCACCAACAGACACCCCACAATATGCTTGATTAAGTGTCACCAACTAACAAGAAAAACTCATATGAACTGTGGTCAAGATTTGAGCGAATAGTTCCAAAATAATTGGGCGCCGAGTGTGTAGACATTTGTAAAACGAAGTTTGGACCAGATCGCCAAACGAAACTTTGGAATTCATCATTTCAATTTCTCTGAGATTTTATAAATATAATTTTCTAACAAAAAATTGTAGATGTTTGACATGCATTTCAAACTAAAAGGCGATAACCTTTATGAGTATAAATATGGACAAGAAGGAATTAGCAAATATCTAACTCTCCTCACAACACTCATCAGCAATTTTAAGTACTTGTGTTCATAATAGAAGCTCTTTAGTTGAACTAACTATTTAACTCAGGAAACTGTCAGTATATCTGCGGATAGCCTAATAATACCAATACCTACATGGATTTTGAAAGCTAAAATACACTCTAGTCACACTAGCCATACAAATACTAAATGACCCAGACAACCATCCCCGCTGGGATGTATCTACAGTACTGATGTCGGGATTGAACTGTGAATTTGCCGGGGAAAACCAGAAAAACAAATCACCACTGAACATCGTGACTTGCTCAAATAAATTCAGATTATAAGGATAGAAGGCGCTTTTTGCCTAGGTTAATCCTCGCAATGTTTATCTCTGCAGAGATCCATTTTCTCTTTGAAAGCGTTCACCAATGGAGCTGTTACCACTGAATCAGGTAAGGAGTTCCAGTCGTTGACCACTCTGAGATAATCTAAACTCCAAACGTATTTTATTCGACCCCGGTTTGAGCACCTTGTGGTGACCTCGTAAATGTATTCTAGAGGGAGAGAAAAGGTTCGAAAGGTCAATCCCTCAATTACCCTTGAATATACGGTAAGCCAAAATTACGTCGGCTCTCCTCCTTCGGTAATGTGAAGAGATTTAAATGCCCCATCCTCATGTCATAAGGAAGATGTGAGATACCGCCAGCTAATTTCGTCCCTACCCTCTGTACTCTTCACAGGATATGTGCCTCCTTCTTGAAGCATTGGGTCGCCGCTTGTATGCAGTGCTCTATTACTGTATTAACGTTAATACTACTGCAATTTTAGTTACACATCTGAAAGTGTTGGACCCAACAAAAAACCCCAAATAATTATTACAGAAATACACTAGATGCCTTTGAGTTAGAGCAAAACATTCACCACTTATATCACACCACAGATTTGCATAAAAACATTTATAATTAACTTTATTTTCCACATACACTAAAAATAAACCCGGGCGCGAAAGTCTGGCCTGATTACGAAGTTCTGTTTATTAGACAGAGACTGTTAATAAAATATTTATGACTCAATCTTAACTTACATGTGAGTAGCAACTAACTTGAAATTGCGCTAGAAATCTTAGTTCAATAAACAATAGACTGACAATGACACAATTGAAGAAGATCAAGAAAAAGCGGAGACAATAGCAGACCACTTATCCCAAGACTTTACACAAGATTCATCAGTCCCCATAAGATCTGCTCTGGCTGATCAGAGGAACACGAGATAGATTATATTGAGGTCGACCAAGACAACACGCTCAACTGCCTAATGAAATTAGATGCATGGAATCCAATGGGTCCTGATAATCTTCATCCAAAGCTTCTCAAGGAGCTATCAGCTCACATAGCCGGCCCTTTGACCACGATCTACAAGCTATCTCTCCTAAATTGAATGTTACTGGAAAGATGACATATTAACCCCCATCCACAAAGGAGAATCAAAACAAACCCCATCAAATTACACGCCTCTTAGACCCACCAACACTTTTTTCAAGATAATTGAAAGAATCATCAAGAAAAGTGTCACAGGATATCTGGAAAACAGCTATTTCTGAAAATATCCACTGAGTCATGAGGAAAATAAAAAGCGAATTCAGCGCAGAAAATATTCTTTATCGGGTGGACATCTTCAGAGGCTGTATTGGCGTATTTATATTTCCCGAAAATCTACAGTAGTTTATCATTCATTAATAGGGCGTGACATAATTGATATATTTATTCGGAATTGGTTTAGAAGTAAAAGATAAAACTGTGAATTACGTAGTACTCAATGGCACTAAGTTAGAAATTTGATAGGGTTAAAATTGAAACTGAGTGAGAATCAGGGTAGTTGAGTGTCAATTTAACAAGTGTGAAGAGGGTGGGAAAATGCAAAATAGGAACTCATGAAACTGATAATAGTGAATTAATTATTAGAGTAGAAACAAACTAAAATTGAAATTGAGCATTTTAAAAAATAAAACATTTTTTACAGGAAACGACTGGTAAAGTGGTTAAGACCAAGGTAGAATAGGAGACTGGACAAACTTTTTCTGTATGCATAGTTCGAGGTTATATTGACGAATTGCCAGCGCCTCCGCCATACACAAAACGGAAACCTGAAGCCGTTTGTACCATGTGGCCTAACCTCGTAGGTGTTCGTGAGAGACGGCTATGGTGGAGCTACACGGCCTGAGTTCACCAAGTGCTCGAGAATTGAACTAGTAGTTGTCTTGCATTGCCTCTTGTCAACCATGCCGGATAATGTTCATAGATGCGTTTGGGAAGTGTGCACTTTCTGAGGCCAATATGATCAGCTCCACTGGAGCAGATGAATTTATAAACACATTGAAGTGGCCCAAAGCGGCGATTTATCCTTCACACATCCATTGATTGTTTGTCGGGTGTAGAAATTGATATGTAGCTCAGCGGTAAACAAGGCTTTCCTCAGTGATCTGCATGGGCGAATCTTCAGGATCTCAGCTGTATATCACCTTTAAGTTCAACGCTCATGAATATCAATTTCTTCTGCACCACCTGGACTCTCTCAGGCTTTTCCCCTAACTTCATGTTTTTCTCCATAAATATTGGAAGATATCCATTCTCTATGAGAACTTGTCCGAGTCGCCCCAGTCCCTTGTCGACTGTATCGCTGGAACATATCCTTCTAATTCTTGAGGATTGGGAGTGGATCAAATTTCTCCTTCTTCTCAAGGTGACACAAAAATGAAAATTCGTGTATAGAAAATATCCCCATTTAGACATTTAGAAAAGAGAAAGATTGAGCGAAGAAATATTTACTTTTCAATTAGATCCTCATCTCTGGCTCTACTCTAATATATATAGCATTTTAATTACAATACACAACAATTTACCAATCAAGTGGCGATATGTTTGTTAACAATAATTAGTCGGTGTCAAAATGTCAATGGGGTGATAATTAACGAAGAAAAATTAATATCTATAATTAAGAGGTGGAAATGGTTACAACACGTGGATTGCATAATGCATAATTTTGGAAAAATGAAGAGCAATTAAGGAATAAGCGTGTGCACAGGTTGATTACGTAACAGATTGTTAAAGAAAATAAAACAATTTGGACAATGATAATTTGTAACTAAAGTTGAAGTGGTCATAAGAATAAAATAATTTTTACAAGGATAACACGTAATTAAAGATGAAGTAGTCAGAAAAATAAAATAATTTGGACAATTATAGTTTTTAAAAAGAAAAATTATTCTAGGGGGAGGGTGATGGAGTAGTCCGGTTTATACAGTCATGTAACGATGGCCAAGGTAAGGAAAGTGGCTGTACAAATTTCTTCTGGACACACAAGTTTGGCTTCTTCAGGTGGATTCCTATTGCTTCAGCTGTATGTAGAAGACGAACTCGTAAAGCAAAATTAAGATTAGTAGGAATGCGATAAATAATTTTAAATGCAGTATTAACATCAACCTTATGCTCACTATCTACAAGGTGGGCTAAAATAGAGCTACGAATAGATTTTGTTTGTCCCTTGCTTAACCATGCCGGATGATGTTCGGAAATACGATGATGAACCTGCCTAATTGTTCGCCCGATGTAGCTGGCTCCGCAGCTGCAGTCAAACTGGTAGATACACATAGAAGAGGCGAATTTAGGTAGTTTATCCTTATTACTCGAACGTAGGATAGGTGTGGTCGTGAAGAGACAGCGTACCTCTGCTGCATAATAAGCTCTTTTAACTGCATTCCTCAGTCGCTGCGTTATTATTTCGCTGATGTTGTCGCCGAGGAACTGAAGTTTTATGAACAGTGGTTTTTTCGGAACTGTTGCCATAGTCACTGTCCTAGGTGATGAATTCATATTTTTCTCAATAAACTTATCTGGATAACCATTTTTTCTAAGTAATTCTCTAATAATCTCAAGCTCCTCATTGAAGCAGTCGTCTGAACAGATTAACCTAGCTCTATGAACCAGACACTTTACCAGGTTGCGTTTATATTTCAAAGGTACAAAACTCAAAAAATGAGTGTACTGTCCTGTTGTAGTAGGTTTCCTGTACACACTCCTTCTTAGTGTGCCATCTTCTTTCCTTGCCATGAAGACGTCTAGGAATGAGATACAGTCATTACTTTCTTTCTCTATAGTAAAGTTTATTGCTGAATGGGCATCATTAAACTTGTCAAGGATGTTCATTGCGTCGTCCTCGTTTTTTATGACCAGAAATGTATCATCCATATATCGACAGTAGAAATCCAAGTCACTAATTGCTCCTTTCAGTGGTCCATTCTCTAACTTAGCGAGGAAAAAATCAGCTAGGATTGGGCCTAATGGGGAACCCATAGCTACACCATCAATTTGTCTGTAATATTCCTTATTGAATAAGAAATGAACGTTCATTGTACATCTTAAAATAAGTTCCTTCAAGGTGGATACAGAAATGCCGATGTCTATGTTTCGTGTAGTAATCTCCTCACATATAAAATCCACTGTCTCCATTAACGGTACGTTGGTGAACAAGGAGGATACATCAAAAGATATCATAAACTTGTCCTTCACATTAAGATCTCTTATTTTTCCAACAAATTCAAAACTGCCATTTACGCTATGTTTTACCAACTCATTATGCAGAGGTTTCAGGAGCTTGACTAACCATTTTGCTGTGGCATGGTATGGGGAATTACACATATCTAACACTGGTCGAAGTGGTAAACCAATTTTGTGCACTTTTGGAAGTCCATATAATCTTGGTGTAATCGTGCCAGTAGGCTTTAGAGATTCATATAAACCTTCTATGATGCTACTTTGTTGTTTAAGTCTTTTTAGTGACTCGATTAGCTGTTTCTCTACTTTTTCTGTTGGATCGACGGAAGACGTGATTTTTTGAAATTTTCGATGATCACTGAGTATTCCATTCATCTTATCTATGTATTCAGTCTTATTCATTATTACTACTCCAGAGCCTTTATCGGGTTTCGAAATTATTATATTCTCATTATTTCGGAGCTTATCTAGGGCTTCCCTGTGTTTCTTGGTCAATAAGCTATTCTGTCTCCGTTTACTATTTATATATTTATAACAACAGTCGACGAGAGTTGATTTGAGACTTTCAACTGCCTCAGCTGACGAGGGTGTCAATCCTTCAGTTTGTGCATAAAAGTTTTCAAACTGGACTTGCATATCCATCTTATTAATTCTAACGTGATTATCACAAAACTTAGTGCCTAGGGATAATACTTGCAAATCAGTGTCATCAAGAACAATATCAGAAAAATTATAAACATACCGACCAGGGTTTGGCGGAAATCGCATTTCTGGAGTTTTGCTTTCCAGGCTTTGTAATAATTTGACACGTTTCTTTTCCCTTCTTTTTCCAGAAACCTCATTCACATAATCCAGGAACTGTTTCTTCAAGTGCTCTGGGAGCTCGTCTACAGCATAAAACCTTATCAAAGAATGTAACAGAAAGGTTTTATGCTGTAGACGAGCTCCCAGAGCACTTGAAGAAACAGTTCCTGGATTATGTGAATGAGGTTTCTGGAAAAAGAAGGGAAAAGAAACGTGTCAAATTATTACAAAGCCTGGAAAGCAAAACTCCAAAAATGCGATTTCCGCCAAACCCTGGTCGGTATGTTTATAATTTTTCTGATATTGTTCTTGATGACACTGATTTGCAAGTATTATCCCTAGGCACTAAGTTTTGTGATAATCACGTTAGAATTAATAAGATGGATATGCAAGTCCAGTTTGAAAACTTTTATGCACAAACTGAAGGATTGACACCCTCGTCAGCTGAGGCAGTTGAAAGTCTCAAATCAACTCTCGTCGACTGTTGTTATAAATATATAAATAGTAAACGGAGACAGAATAGCTTATTGACCAAGAAACACAGGGAAGCCCTAGATAAGCTCCGAAATAATGAGAATATAATAATTTCGAAACCCGATAAAGGCTCTGGAGTAGTAATAATGAATAAGACTGAATACATAGATAAGATGAATGGAATACTCAGTGATCATCGAAAATTTCAAAAAATCACGTCTTCCGTCGATCCAACAGAAAAAGTAGAGAAACAGCTAATCGAGTCACTAAAAAGACTTAAACAACAAAGTAGCATCAT